AGGGGAAAACAGAGATAATTTTAGCGGAGTTGCGCGTAGGTGGATCCCGAGGTGGATCCATTCATGGGGACATGTTGCGCCACCGGTCCCCACATGGGCGGAACTTCGGTGATACCATGCAGGGGTCCGTCGGCGTGGATCAGATCCTCCTCAAACATGTCCAACAATTCTGTGGTGGTGTTGGACACCCGGACGATCTGAACGGCGGCACCCTGCACCACGCCCTGCTGCCTGGCGTCCTGCTGGACGACGCCCTGCTGCTCGGCGTCCTGCAGAACGACGCCGTGCTGCTCGGCGTCCTGGACGACGCCTTGCTGCCCGGCGTCCTGCTGCACGACGCCTTGCTGCAGGCCGTCCTGCTGCACGACGCCTTGCTGCAGGCCGCCCTGCTGGACGACGCCCTGCTGGACGACGTCCTGCTGCACGACGCCCTGCTGGACGCCGCCCTGCTGCAAGGCAACATTCTGCTGGACATTCTGTTGGGGTCGGCCACGGCCAGTTCTAGGGTGTGACCCACGGTAGCAAAAGTTTTTGACAGTTGTTCTTAGAGGTATGGTCACATTTTTGTTTGCTCTCTGCTGAAACACCGACTGTACAAAGCCTAAAATGAAAACAAAAAATATAGTAGCGTCTTGACCGAAAATGTACTTATGGCAGATGTTCGAGGTTCCCTTACTGCTTACCCCTTGCCGCGGCAACTATGTGAGGTGATAGCTGCACTGTGCCATGCGCGCCAGTCCTGCTCAGAGCCGGATTCAGGCGAATGTCCCGAGGAACAAGGTGAGCAATAATTTCCAGGAACAATTTGCTCGGTCGATCGTGCAAATCCGCCAACATGGTGAGCACGGCACCATTTGCATACACTGCAATTCCTGGAGTCACCTGGATCTGTAATAAGAAATAAGGTTTATCTATGTTGCAATTTGGAAGAATATAAAAAGTCAGCAAAGCCGTTTGCCTATTTGTTCAGGGATTATCTAAAAAGTACGTCCGTCATTCGCCGTTGCGAACCAGCAAAGTTCAGCCTCTGCAGGCTCTCATAGCGCCTGGCAGCTAGGCAACATCTTGCCTAGAGTGCATGCGTGTAATGCGGGGTGGCCTACCCCGAGTCTCACAGGCGCCGAGTTCCCCAATACTAGTGAATATAAGGAAAACGGACGGAATATTCTAAACGATACTAAACCGACGAAATTTATAGAGTGAGTTCTTACATGGCCAGGAATGTCAGATTTCCAGCAGTTGAGAGAGTCCAGTTGCGCTTGAAGCTGTTGCTTGTGCTCCTCGGAGTACTTCTTCGGTCGCCGATCAGGAAGCTGGGGCTGAGCAGCCAACAGGGCATCTGGGAAAAAAACAGTTCTTTATTAAGAAACTCCG